AACATGAGAAAAAGAGAATATAAAGCAAAGGCAAAATGATAAAACTGTGTGACATACACGATCACATTGTCAGAGACAGGTGTGATTTTTGTGATTGCATGTATCACATATGTGACAAATAAGATACGTGCCAAATTTTCTCCTGCAATGCTCTGTCAAATACTATATAAACTTGTACCTACATTGCTGATATAACATAAAGAACTAAGGTGCATGTCGCATGAAGTGTGCAGTCAATCGTTTGATTTGGTGAAGGTATATCGACAAAGTAAGGCTTATTCTAAAACAGTGGAAATAAATAGGTTATTGGTATGCTAGCATAATTACCATTTATCTCATCAGTATAAGAAATTGAATATGAAATAAACTAAAATTTATAATTTTTTATTGGAAAATGCTCTTTAAATGTATTTGATTGATCGAACTATAAAAGAAACAGAAATAAAATATTAATGACTTTTTTTCAAATTATACTACTTTTAAATATCTATCATTATATATTCAAAGACCTTGTGAAAATAAACTGTTTTAGTGATAAAAAAATTTCAAACGTAAAACCCACATACATAGATACATTGTAAAGTATTAAAATGAAGTTCTAAACTTTTTTAGTGTTTACTTATTAATACAATTTTTCTAACACGTACCTGCGTGTAACTTGAAGAATAATTGAAAACGTCAGCTGTAAAAAAAAATGAGCCGTGTCACGACAAAACCAACATAATGCGTTTGCGACCAGCATGGATCCAGCCCAGCCTGCGCATCCGCGCAGTCTGATCAGGATCCATGCTGTTCGCTATCAGTTTCTCTACTTGTAATAGTGTTTTGTAAGCGAAAAGGATGGATCCTGATCAGACTGCGCGGATTCGCAGGCTTGACTGGACCCATGCTGGTCCCAAGCCCATCATGTTGATTTTGTCATGACGCGGCTCAAATGGATATTTGTTACAAAGTTCTCTTGGACTTGATATATTAATTTAAAGATTTAAAAAGATTCTTTTACAGAATCAGGGGTGGTTACAGAACAGACCTTGATGAGGGCTGACAAGTGATTGAAGCGTAAATGTTTGAGTATTGGTCTATAGCATATTTTCAATATCTTTCTTTTACCATTATAATAGCAGTTAAAAGCGTGCGTTGTGTTGTCGAAGATTAGGTTAGCATCTTGAACATGTGAATTAGGTTGGTGTGGTTTGTATGTTCCCCCCTCATATAGATTGAGATTTTGAAAATCTGAGGTTGTAAATGCTGTTAGTTCCCTGACTTCCTTATCCTTTTAATGGTAAAATTATTTATAATCTAACTACTCTATTTTATATTTACTTTTTATAATTTACGTCTTTTGTCGTTGGTGTTTCCTCCTTTTTTATTTATTTCAATTTTCATTTAATGTTTGGAAAGAAATAAACCAATCAAGTATGCCGATTCGACTTTAAGGCAAACTGACTTTAAGACGATGCTATATACAACAGGAGGTCTTAAGTATTTATATATGTTTATGATATACATGTGTGTGATCTAGTACGTGTAAGCGTGAAAATTAATTAGGCAATTGGAAATATCTGAGCGTATATAGTTTTGACAATCAATGATGTTAATGTGTTTAGATTTTTCATTTCTTAATTACTTGATTTACAATGATAATTGCATTAATCAATTTCTAAGTATTTGATTATTTTATTTTAGGTTTCAGAAAAAAAACATGTTGTAACGTACGTCGGACAATCAACGAGAAACACCTGTCCTCTAAGGAATCAATTCTGAAAATAAACGGAAATCATTTATTGTGGAACTAATAAGTCATTCATAAAAATTAACAAATGAATATACTGAAACAATGACAATATGTCAAAACGCGTCAAGATGAATGTACTTTAAAATACTCCTATCCTTTGCTCTGAAACATTTAAAGAAATGTATACTTACTGGTATTATTGTGCACATATTAAGTAATTTTTAAGAATATTTGATCCAATGTTTTAATTAAGAAGACTTTAAAGCTGGTAAATGCCAACTTTGATCCAGTTTTATGTAAATAAATATTTTTGATTTTTTTTCTACATGACAGATTTCATATTGTTCCGGCCGATTTCTAAAACTGTAAAACTGATGTATATTGAACTGATGTGCTGAGAAAAAAATGCCGCATGACCCCTAGTTTGCTATAGCTGGAATGATTCATCTTGGATGATACTATAAGCACAGGTGATTTTGATTTGCTTGGAGGGTTAGTCAAATATGTTTATAAAGAACATTTGCATTCTTAACCATGTATGAAAATTAAATGTACCTATAAAAACGATCTTTCCAAAGGCTATTCTATTAGTTAGAATTGCGTATAATTTTAAGCATATTACAAGCTTTAAGTAAAACTTGAAAATGCAGGAATTAACGATCGTTTGCTTACATAACCAGACATGTTTCTATATTCAAAGAATATCCATTATGAAATTATTATTATTAAGGTTATTGTTTACCAGAGCACAAGCATCCACTGATGATTTATTTTCTTAATTAAACTGGATGAAATTTTCCGAAAGAACTATTAACAAATGAGACATCAAAACTATTATAGACTTAAATCATTTTTAGTGCGTTTGAATAGGTAAAACAGTTCTTATTTAGTAAGTAAAATTAAGCAAGCCTTGGTCATGAAGTCTTAATTTAGTAATTATAGCTCTTTAATCAATCAAATTATGCATATTCCTATAACCAAAAAGATGTCATATGATACATTTTATACACTGTCTATTCTAAATAAATGTTTAAAAATAACAACACATTTGAAAATAATTATTGTCCCACAGTACCTATATTTATTTTGACAAATTACAACATTTAGACATCTATCCATTTTAGTAATAGCTTAACCTTTTACCCCATGAGCATATTGCGAAAAATGGCCGTTTTCATTGAAAAGCCTCCTGTAACAAGTTCAAACTGCTATGAAACTATGAAAAATGCTTCAATACTAATGAAACTTGGCACAAATGTTGACTACACCATAGCCTCTGTAACAGCATGCTCAATGGTAAATTTCCTGTTACCATGGCTACGGGACGTCTCAAATTGCCAAAAAATCACAATTTTTTCATTGTTTTTTTTCCATCAACATTTGTCAAACGAAAAACAGTGTTTGTTTGGGGCCTTAATAGGGCATTGTTTCACTGTTTGTGGCCTCAAAAAAGGGGGAGTCGAAACACGCGTATATAAGGGAAAGGGTTAAACATGTCATTTTAATAATTTAAATTTTATTTGAAAACACTAACCCATTGCTATCATTGACCTTGACACATACAACATGCCTTCCTATATCAGCAATTGTAGGATTCCATGACATAGTTGTAAATCTTATTTGTGGACGTGCAAGATCTTGTTGAATTGGATTTTGCAGTTTAACATTTTCCTGTTGCATTCCAAACGCTTTAAATGCATAGATCGTGCTGTAATACAATATACATTCTTTTATTCGCAAATATTTTAACAAAATCATCATGGTACATTGCTAAAAACCATTGCATATCATACGTAAATAATGTAGTTTTCATAGTGAGTTATTTGTACAATAACTTTAACTGTGTTTGTTTTTATGGCAGATGTTAACATTGTGCTATAATAAAACTTATGAAAGTCAAGGTATATACTACATGTTCTTGTTTAGCGTGGAGGAAGGTAGTCTAGTACTGGTGTAACTCTCCAGGAACGATGGTTAGGAAACTACCCACCTATATGACTGAAATACTGTTGGGAAAATGCGTAAAATGAAACAAACAAACAAAAACTACATGTTCTTATCTGAACTAAAGGAAACATTGGCTAAATTGATCATTTAAAACTTTCAAGAAACTTTAAAGTATGTAGTTACGATTAAGTTTGATGTAAATTAGTGTGCGTTAATTTGCGCAAATGAAGTAATTTAAATCATTTTTATATTTTGTATGAATGTTACACAACACGTACGCATTTTGCGGTGCTTCAGCGTAGATATCCGCCGACCATGTCGATCCCGCATAAACGATAAAAACATGATTGTTTTTAAATGTCGGTTCAACAAAAAAAGGTTGTTCTAAATTGTCCAATACTTGAACAGCAAACTATAAAGATGATAGAAACAGACATGTTATTATTGACATTAAATTATTTGTTTCAAATTATGTTTTTATTAATGAATAAAAATGTGTAGGTCATTTTGTAAAAAGCCCCTTGCTACTAAGTTTATCTATTCTTATGTTTCACATCCACTTGATCAATATTTACACCCTTCCAAACCTTTGGAACCGAAGTGTAAACAATTTATTTCTTAACAGAATAAAAGAGGATCTATAAAGCTTATGTCACAAGATGGCACGTATGAGTGTAAGCTAGCTAGATATTGTTCATGGCGAGATTCTATCCAAAAACGGTTAATGGCAATTGGTTTGAAGTCGTCGAACATAACCACTAGACTACGGCGCCCCCTGTTACATGTTACTGCTTGTACCTCAAATAATGCACAGAAAGGGAAGATTTCTGTCACCACTTTAAGCTGGAAAATTTGGGGGGGGGGGGGTGGTCTTTTTTTCTACTGAATATTTGAAAGATATAGATAAAATAATTCAAACAGGAATAATCATTACACCTTTTGGCTGTTAAACTTGAATCACTTTCATACTAACGGAAAAAATACCTGAACAGAGGATGAACTTAGCGAAAAATGTCCCGCTGAGTAAAAATCGGCACCGTAAACAATGTCATCTCTATTGTAGTCCCGGACACTAACTGGAATGGCAATCCAACTGTTGTTTCTGTAGCCCGCAAAATATGATGCGTTTATGTAAACGGTGCAGTTCTTGGTATTATGAAATTTTACAGAAAGAAATTAATTACAATGAAATTTTTAAAGAAAAGAAACGCTCTGATGCAATGAAAACAAAAAGATACAATGAGTAAATAAAATAGTTAATGAGAAACCCTTCAAACATTTTCACTTTGATTTTAAGCAAAAGTATCTAATGTGAAAATAACGGAACGTTTGCACTATTCTTTCTTGTGACAGTTAAAAGCTTTTTCTTTTCAGTGAATCTATTTGCTTTAAACAAGATTACAGAACCATTTAATTTTAATAGATTATTTAATTAGCAAACATATTTTAAATAGTATATATTCTATAATGTAGTGTTTGAAGTTTGGTGGATGTTAGCATGTGTGTGTGTGTGTGCTTGCGTGCGTGTTTTACAGTATTGTAAACCTACATCGAAAATTTTGATATTTGGCGGTGGGTTCGTTGAGATCGATCCACCTTCTGAAAGAACTGATTGTTCACATTTAACGATATCTCCATCAGCATCTAATGTTGGAATGTTGATCTTTGAAACTTTGTTTAAGGCAACCCTTTTCGTGTATAAAATGTAAAAAAGTTATTGTAAATATTCGAAATATTTGCTTCAATAAAGAAAATAATATTGTGCATTTAACGGAACTTTCTATGTTGACATTGCTGAGTTATTATCATTAAAGATATAAAATATTGTACTTAAAACTATTCATTCAATAACGTTTTAGTTTAACTCCCACATGCTAGTCTCTAGGTTGACACATTTAAATTACTTTCGAAACACTTAGCTTCTAGTCTTTCTTTGGAATTTTGGTAAAACGCATTTTTTAATCTTTTATTATCTCATAGCATGATGAAACTCACTATCAAACCATTCATGCCTATCACATTTGTCTTGCCACGAATGGACCTCTTTTATGTCCTTAAAATGTAATTATAGTTTATACAACCAAACCTGTAAAATGGTTTGCTTAGGGATCTGGGACCTTTATTTGCTGTCTTCGTATCACTTCGAATACCAGATCTTATATGAGTTTCCATAAACCAATGATCCATATTTCTGCCAGTTTGCAAGGAGAGGTTATTCCTAGAATACCCGTCAAAGCTGAAATGTATGATATGGTTTACGTGTACAAAGGACATAAACTTTTTAAATTTCATCCCTGGTTGACTTCTCGGGTCGTTTTTATCTTATATATTCATAAAATAGAGAAAATAAGAATCCCTAGGGAAAGACCAACACGGCAAAATTGAAAATGATGCAGGATCGGTTTGATTTAGCCTGTTCATGGACGGTACTGTCAAATTTAAACTACCGTCCACCCCCACCCCCCGCTAGCACCGGTTTAAGCAGAATTCAACTGGTACAATTTTGAATTTTCAAACATCCCGCAGATGTGTTCATATGGCGGTTATCATGGAACCTTCAATGTGACACATAAGTGACATATGGTCCCCAAGTAAAAAAATGCGTGTGCCCTAAACTAGAAAACAATGCGCGGAACTAAATAAAATGGAACTTTGAAAGGGCTTCAGAGGTTATGTAGCCTGCATATCACATATAGGACGTCAAAAGACGATTTAAAAAGCAGGCCACATACGGTATTCTAAAGGTGAAGTTCAAGTGAGGAATACTGGAACCACCCAACAAGAAAATAGCCGAAAAGAAAGAACTAAATTACCACAAGCACAACAATTATGTCGTACTGAACGATCTTTAAGGATCGGAACTATAAGATCTCTGATTGAAAGTCAGTTATACGTATGGCTAACAATATGAAGAAACTAAACATTAATTTCTTCATTATTTTCCAGCGAAAACCTTATGTTTTTCCTTTAACAAAGTTCCAGTTTATCTGGGACTGGTCAAGGCAAATGTATGTTTTCCACGGGGACCATATGCCTCTTTTCATGGAATAGCACGAACGTGTCACAATGAAGATTCCATTATCACCGTCTGATGTAAGCATCTCCGGTTGTTTCTTAATTTAAAAAAAATCCCCGTTACAATATTAAAATGTTGAATATTGTTTTAGTCGGTGCTAGATGGTGTAGACATCAATTTGCCATTACCAAACAGGCTTAAGCAAAACTAGCTCGGACCACATTAACTTTCCGTTTTAAGCGTTCTTTGTTGACACATTTTTTCCTATTTCATAGTTTTAACATTTTATTTTTGGATTCGAATAGAAAAATATGAAAGTGAGCGTAAATTAACATTTTTTATTAATTAACTTTTCAATATTAGGAACAGTTTCACTTCAAATGTATGGCTAATATGAAGTTCACCACGACATTATGAACATAAAACAAGGCCATTTTACAATAAGTACGGCCTTTATGAGAAAACACGGAGATAATGAGCTTGGAGAATTTTGATTGGCATTATGAATCTGCTATATTTTCATAGAAAAGTCGCCATTTTTAATTGCTGCAAGGTAGGCTTCCGAGAAATTTTTAAAACAAGAATCTCATTTGCAGTACATCACAACAACGGAATTTCACATTAGTTATTTTTGTTCACTAAGTACTTAACTTTTTTCGATTGTGGGTAATTATTTGATAAAATTGTCAATAATTAAGTGTTTTGATATTGGCCTTGTTATTGGGCTCTAGACAATCATATTAACCTTCGGCCTTTGGCCTAAGACTAATATGACCGTCTTTAGCCCAATAACAAGGCCAATTTGAAAACACTTAATTATTAACATTATAGAATAGTTATAAGAATTCAATAAAACTACTGTTGTAATGCATTATTGATCCATATGTTTACGATGAACTTTTGACAATTAATATTATAGTAAACGGTTTGTATTCAAATGAGAATACAAACAAACAAACATAATTCTAGTGCATATATGTTTTTTTATTTAATTATTGTTATGTTAAAGATGTCGAATACAATATAATATGATTTGATGTAACCTGATAAATGATTCGTCCTGATCCTTCTCAACTAAAACGCTAAAATGCATGATATCCTGTTCCCATTGTCTGTGTTCATCAACGTCATTAACAGTTTCGTTGTATGTCTTCTCCACTACCGCATTTATATTTGTTATTGTTGTCGTCGTGAAATGCCTCTTATTCTTCAGCGTAAAGTCGCCAAGAGAACCTGGATGTGATGACACTACACCAGGTCTAGTTACACGTGTAGATCTACCAATATCAGATATACTGCATGCCGGTCCACATGGGCCTTTCCCGAGGACCCAACCAGTTATAAGCTCGACAACGATCTAACAATAATTGACCAATAAAGTTTATATCACTATAAAATGATAACTTATCAAGTCAAATCTCTTTATATACTTGTTTCCTACAATTTTACGCTATATCAACAAATATGTTTGAATAATTTATTAATTATAATGATATCATGTTTATATAAGGGTACTTCTTGCAAATTTACAACACTTTCAAATGTTTTATAATGCAACATCAAAATATATGTAATGTACCTGCAAAAGAACATCATATTCTCATAAATCAGAGCTGTCAATATAGAATTAATTAAATGTAATGATTAACAGGGATATAAAATCATTATTTTGTTCAAATGAATATATATGCAAATCATGGAAATTCATATATTATTAAACTGCTATGTTTCGTTGTCGTAAAATTCAAATAAATCAATGCAATCCTTTCATGTACTTCTACTTATTACTGCTTGTTAAAATTCAATCTCATGAAAATGCAGAAAGAATGATAAAATGAAGATTTACTAAAGAACTGTCATTAGCTTGTTTTTCCAGCGTGCAGCTTATAGATCCCCCATAGAATTGTCCATCTTGACTATATACGTGTGTACACCCAAAGCTTGCTAGTAGAATGAATTGTAATACTAAACTCCATGATGTCATATTGTCAGTACCCTGTAACTTACAATACATGCAAAATGATTATCTTATCATGGTTAAATCTTTGACATATCATTTGAAATAATTGTTTTCGTTTAAGGGAAAAGCCTAGCAAATCATTTTAAATGTAATGTGAGCAAATCACAGATCGATATGAAAGACTGTGAAGCACATTTTTTAAGTTCTTAGAAGCGACTTATTATAGGTATCATAGCGAGGATCAACAAAGCATGGCTACGTTCTCGAAATGCAGCCCATAGTAATTGCATACCACATAGGACCATCTAGACTTTCGAATCGACTATTTCAAGAAGTGCACAATGTCATCAAACGAAGTAGGTAGCAGATTTGCCTAATTTTGCTTATACATGTACTATATTTATTTTCATATTTACTTTATTAAAAAACTGCTGCAAATCAAGACTTGGTGCGTTTATTCTAGTTGCAAATAGGTAATGGCATATTTTTTTTTTTCATTTTATCTCATTAAATCATTTTGTAATTTTCTTTGTATTTTTAAGTTAAATGATTTCTTTTTTACCAGTTAAAATACATGAAACTTATATCGCTTATCATATAAATATCTCTGAATAATTCTGAAAACCACATACTTGGCTACCATTAACCCAACAAGATAGACCTTTAGGGGAGAATATTAATTTCACGCGTTTCGTAGTATAGCGTGAAATATTTGTCTTCTCGAAACGTACATAGTTTACGGTATTGGAGGTAATGGTCAGTTGTGCACGAGATTATCGTGTTTTTTCGAGCAGGCTATCTATATCAGTGTTATAAATACGGAGTGTAAAGATTTTTATTCACTTCTACCCAGACGATTTCTAACAAAGTACACTTTCAATTTTGAGCGTGTGCAGTGCAGCCATGGAAGAACAAAACGATTTATTGTCAAGTATGGAGAGACTTATTACTCAAAAGCTTGAAGATTTTGAACAGTCTCAGAGGGCTTTTACTCAAGAGCAGATAACGAGACTACAACACAGTGTACAGAGACAAGATACTTTCACGTTTCGTAAGAAAGGCAACGAGGAACAACATAAAGTAAACGCACGTGTTCTCGACAAAATGAAGGAAGCAGACTTGCATCTTCATGAGGCCGCCAAATCTCATCAAAGTGAGGCCATGTCGTCTGCTATGGAAAAAGTCTCTCAAGGTATTGACATTTTAAATCACCGCCAGAAGTTAATACGTCTTGCTGATTCAAGTGACGCTGGTTGGCGTGTAGTAATGGAATATGAGGCCCATCCTCTGGCCGAAAACGATGATGACGAGAAAAAGATTTACAGGTCCCAGAGAGACGCTGAGCGTAAGCTCAGACAGGAGAGGAAAGCGAGAAATACCCGTTATTCTTCGTTTTCACGTTACGGGCGTTATTTCCAAGGACAAACGTTAACACCTGAAAATAAGGATATTGCCGGCTCATCGACCACGTGGAACCAGACGAACGTATCTGCTGGCCGTAAACCTGGCACGTGCTTCCGGTGTGGACGTCCCGGTCATTGGCGGAACGACTGCAGGGCTGGTTTGCAAAACGACGGAGGGTTTATGAACAAGGATGTACAGTCAAATTCTGAGATAAGTTGCTCTTTGTTATATTTATCTACGCAAAACGCTGAATGCGAAAATAGTTCAAAAATTAGTACGCCAGTTGGCAAGTTAAAATCTTGTATAAATCACTGGAAAGATGCTGGAGCAAATGAGTACGTATTACAAATAGTAGAAAATGGGTATAAATTACCTTTCAAAAATATTCCAGATTCAGTTTTCTTGTTAAACAACAAATCAGCAAGGGATAATTCTTCATTTGTAAGTCAAGAAATTAAGTCATTACTACAAAAAGGTTGTATTTCTGAGGTGAAAGAGCAGCCTTATATTGTAAATCCTCTTACAGTAGCTTATGGAAAATCTGGTAAGGCACGTTTAGTCTTAGATTGTCGTCACATTAATTTAGAACTTTTTAAGTACAAGTGTTGCTTTGAAGACCAGTCTGTGGCAAAAAATATGTTTGAAAAGGGAGATTACATTTTTTCCTTTGATATAAGAAGTGCATATCATCATATAATGATCTCTCCTGAACACAGAACTTATTTAGGGTTTTCATGGGAAGTAAATAATGTGCTTCATTTTTACGTTTTTAACGTGCTTCCTTTCGGAATTGCGACTGCAGGTTTCATTTTCACGAAGGTATTGAGAGTTTTAGTTACTAAATGGCGTTCCCTTGGATACAGAATCATTCTTTTCTTAGACGATGGTTTTGCAGGTGATAGTAAGTATGAAAGTGCTATAAAATTGTCAGATTATGTGCACAATGATTTATTAAATTTTGGTTTCATACTCGCACTGAAGATGAATGCCATTGGATTCCATGTCAAATGTTAGTATGGTTAGGTTATGTTTGGGATACTCTAAACGGTTATTTAAAAGTAACCGACGAACGCATATCTAGTACAGAGCTCTTGTTGCAAAAATTCATTGACGAAATTGGTCAAGGGAAGACAATATTTCCTGTACGTATTGTAGCCAGGTTAGTTGGTCAGTTGATTTCCATGATGACTGCTGTGGGTCAGAAAGTACGATTACGAACCAGGTCGTTATATGACTGTGTGGTAAGTCGGGCAAGTTGGGAGGCCCCGGTTATGATTAGTGCAAGAGCATTTGATGAAATTTTATTTTGGAAAGAAAATTTGAAAATATTAAACAAATTTGTTCTAAAAGAGGCTGGAAGTGCCAAAGTGAAAAATATTGAAAATGTCATATTTTGTGACGCCAGTGGAGCTGGCTTTGCAGGTTTTATTGCAGGCGATGAAACTAGTCATGTGATAGGTTGTTGGTCTGAATCCGAAACGGGTATGAGTTCAACATGGAGAGAGCTAGAGGCTGTACACAGAGTTATAAATACTTCATTTAAAAGCCTGGAAGGGCAAGATGTTATTGTAAATACTGACAACAAAAATGCAGTTTCAATTTTGAAATATGGTAGTAAAAAGCAGTATTTGCACGATATTGCGGTTAACGTGCACGATACATGTTCGCAACACAGTATAAATATAGTACCGAAATGGGTTCCAAGAGATGATAACAAGGAAGCAGATTTTTATAGTAGATGTACTGATAGTGACGATTGGTCCGTTGAAAGTCACGTGTTTGAGACACTAGATAAAAAATGGGGTCCTCATACATTTGATTTGTTTGCATGCAATTACAACACACAATGTAATAAGTTTTTCTCAAAGTACTGGTGCCCAGGGACTTCCGGCATTAATGCATTAGAACATAAATGGGTCAATGAAAACTTTTGGCTTGTACCGCCACCTAGATTAGTTGTCAATTGTTTAGATGAAATATTTTCAGATAAATGTATATGCACACTTGTAGTCCCAATATGGAAGTCGGCGCCATTTTGGCCTATTCTCTTCCCTGAAAGAGGAGTGACAAACGGAAGTGTTTTTGAGCATTTTATTTTTTCTCCAGGAAAGCTGACATAGCGTGGTCGGGGGAAAATGGCATTTTTGACGGCAGAAATTTAGGATTCGGTTTAATTGCTGTCAGATTCGTGTAGTACATTGATATTTTATATTTTTGCAGGCCTGAATTTGAGGAGGTGTATAGATGCAGAAGTACATGAAAGTGGGTTGCGTCATGGAAGTTTCAATGAACTGTCGTCTAAGATGTCTTTACTGTTGGTTAAGTCGAAGAGTGACAGCACAGTATCAAAGTATTATTCGTATTTTAATAAAGTGGGAGGATTTTATTACTTCTAAGGGCGGGGTAGCAATACCCGCTGAGCCAATTCATGTTGCCCTGTATCTTACAGAATTAATTGACAAACAATCATCCAGTTCTATTGTTTCAAATGATGTTTATAGTTTAAAGTGGGCTCATTTTTTGAGAAATTTACACGATCCTACTGATAATTTGTTTGTGAAAAATTTGCTTGAAGCTTCAAAAAGATTGTTGACAAAACCTAAGACAAAGAAGGATATTGTGACAACAGACAATTTAATAATGTTGTGTGATAAATACATTCAAAGTGACGATGTTCTTGTGTTACGTGATTTTGCTATGATTCTAATAGCGTTTGCAGGTTTTTTAAGGTTTGATGAATTAAGTAGCCTTAGGTGTAATGATGTTATTTTTCATGATTCACATATTTCTATTCGTATAAGAAAAAGCAAAACTGACCAATATCGCCATGGAGACCGTATTGTTATTTCTAAAGGCGAGTCTGTAGCTTGTCCATATACAATGTTACAACGTTATATGCGTGTTGCAGGTTTATCTGTTACAGAAGATACATTTTTATTTAAGCCATGTTATCGGTCAAAAAACATTTGTAGACTTATTTTCAAAGATAAGCCACTTAGTTATACGCGAGCTAAAGAATGTCTTATTTTGCGTTTAAAAGAAGTTGTTCAAGATTTAAACATAGGTATTCATTCACTTCGAGCGGGTGGTGCTACTGCAGCCGCAAACGCTGGTATAAATGATCGTTGCTGGAAAAGGCACGGTCGATGGAAGGGTGAAAATAGTAAAGACGGATACATTGGTGATTCTTTAGAAAAAAGATTGTTAGTCACAAAATCATTGCATTTGTTAAGCACTTTCCATTTTCCAGCCCGCTCTTTTCGTATTTCTAAACTACTCGTCTGGTATTGCATTAATTAGTTTAGTTTTGTATTGGTAACGTCTTTAGTCAAGAAAAGACTATTAATTTCACGCGTTTCGTAGTATAGCGTGAAATATTTGTCTTCTCGAAACGTACATAGTTTACGGTATTGGAGGTAATGGTCAGTTGTGCACGAGATTATCGTGTTTTTTCGAGTAGGCTATCTATATCAGGGTTATAAATACGGAGTGTAAAGATTTTTATTCACTTCTACCCAGACGATTTCTAACAAAGTACACTTTCAATTTTATATTATTTTAATCGTGGTGTAATATTAAAAGTAGATTTTTCCCTGAATTTTTTTTTCTCACATACTTTCAGTAAGCTTTTTCTTACAATACAT